ATTATTATATAAAATTTTTTTTAAATATAATAAATTTTTAAAAAAATAGATCAGACATAACAATTTTAACATTTTAGTAGCTAAATATAACCTATACTGAAAGATTACAAAAATATAAGTTATGTAGTTATTGCTATGTAGTTGTTTATATGAATAGCTTGTTTAATTATAAAATTATAAGCCACAATTTATATAGAGAACCTGATATGCTAGAAAGATTTGTTACAAAAATTGAGAAGGAACTTCTAGCTATTCAAGAAGATTTATCTGTACTAGCTAAAATAATAATAGCCTCAGAAGATCTAAAGTCATATAATAAAGCAACCAAATGCTAGATTTGCAAGAAGGTTTTTTTCAAACTATTACAAGAAATATTAGAGAAATTCAAAGAAACAAAGTACAAATTATTAGAAGCTAACAAGTAGAAAGTAAGCATGGGGAAAGATTATCCAGAAAAAAAAAGAATACAAAAAAAATACAGAAAAGTTTTAAGTGTACTTAATCGAAAAATAAAAGATCATAATCACATAAATAGAAACTACTAAGATTTAGCTTAGGACTTATATAATAAAAGTTGTATATAGGTTCTTTCAAAACCAAAGTGCCTCTTATTTGTCATAATTTCTAAAAGTATAACTCTTATCTGCTTATGAAAGTTGCAAGCAAGTTTACGGTTGATAAGCTAAATTGTATCCCAGAAAATATAGGAAAGTATAAAGCTATAGATATAGAAACTTCGATTCTTAAATAGCTTTTAGTATATGGGAATAGGGCTAGATAAGTTAGTTGAATGTCTAGATGAAAAAATCAAAAAATTCTCTCTAACTGTTAACTATTTTACCAAAAAAGGCTATTTAATAGATAAGATTAAGCTTTTTTTTTGAAAGGGCATCTTTCTATATAATTGAACAAATATATAAGAAAAATTTGACAAAACAAGTCTTCTGCTTAAAAAAATTTTTATTCAATTTTTAGTTAGCAAAATATAAACAAGAAGGATTATAAATATACACAAAAAATATAGCAAGAATTTAAGATTATACATGCCACTGAAATAGGTTTTCAAAAAAATACTATTTCGTCTTCATTAGAGCAAATTGAAATTTTTTATATACAAAAGCAAATCTAATTTAAGTAGTTATATTCTTTATAATTTCGTCTCTTTAAAAAAAATATCAAAAAATTTCATTTTTTAAATAAAATAGATCAAAAACAATTTTGTCTTCAAATTTTAATTTTGGGTTTTAGACTCCAAAATAATTTCGGCAGCATGTATATTCGAGATACAAAGCTTTGGAGAGTATCATAACCTTTATCTTGAAACTAATATACTTTTACTTGTTGATATATTTATGAACTATACTATCATGTATTTGCAAGATAATAGATTATATCCCTCTCACTATGTCTTTGCACCTAGAATGTTTAATAATTCTTTATACAAAAGTAGCAGAACAGAACTTAAGCTTATGACAGATATAGATGAGTATCTGATAGTTGAAAATAGAATCCATAGAGAAATGACAATAGCAAGTTATTAATATACCAAAGCAAATAATTTGCAATATCCAGATTATAAGTCTAGTAAGCCAAATTCCTGAATCATAGATAAGGATATAAATACTTTATATTTAGAAGTAATAACCCAATACATGTCTACAGAAATTTTGAATAAAGTGAGTCCAGAAGAAATACTAGATATTCAAAGTATCATGCTTGATACAGAAATAGGCTATATACTTGAAGTTGATTTAAAAGTCTTAGTATACTTGCATGATTACTTTACAGATTATCCATTAGTACCAGAAAAGCAAATAGTTCTAGAAGACTAGCTTAGCTTATACAATAAAAGATTAGTGCAAGATAAAAATATTGGAGAAGGTAAATACATGTTCGAAGAAAAGCTAGTTCAGACCCTTTTTATTAAAAACAATTATATAGTTCACTATTAAGCTCTTTAGATATATATAAAGTTCAAAATAAAAATACAAAGATTCATAGCACTTTTAAGTTTAGACAATCTCTATAGATAAAAAAATATATTGAGAAAAATATTCGTAAATACAAAATAGCAAAAGCTAATAGTAACAAATTCAGGGTTATATATTATAAACTAAAAAATAATGCTGTTTTTGGTAAACAGATGGAAAATATTTGTAAATATATAAGAGTAAAGTTAATTTGAACAGAAGAGTATAAAAAAATAAAATGCTTAGCAAGTTTACTATTATTTGTAGGTTTCAAGCAATTTAAAGAAAGAATTATAGCAGTTTATATATTAAAAAGTACAGTAATACTAAACAAACCAATCTATATAGAACAAGTAATTCTTGATATTAGCAAGGCTATGATATTTAACTTTTGATACAATTACATAAAACCTCACTATAGAGATAAGGCCTGTTTACTTTATACTAATACAGACTCACTCACTATATAGATAAAAATAAATAATATATATAAAGATTGAGCAGAAGACTTGTTTCTAATAAAGAATGAGACAAAAAAAATCTAATAGATAAAGCAGTATACTTAAAGCCAAAAATATATTTAGTTCTTTTAGTTAGATATGATTCAAAAACCTCTAATAACCCAGATTCTAAAGACTCTAAAAAGAAGCATAATATCCAAAAAGCAAAGGATATAAAAAAATACATGGTTAAGAAGAAACTTTGACATGATAAGTTTTTAAAATATCTTAAGAATAAGAAGCTAATCTGGTATGATATATATGGTCTTCGTAGTTATGATCATCAAATATATCTAGAAAAAGTAAATAAAATTGGGTTAAACCTATATGATAACAAATGCTAGATCTTACTTGATAAAATTCGAACTCTCCTATATGGATATTGGGAATTAGATGATATAAACATCTGCTAGCATCTAAAATGGCTTCTGAGAAAGCAAAAGAAAAAGCTATGAAAGCTAAACTTCGTTTCAAGAAATAGATACTTTATAACAAATATTTTTTCAGATAAAAAATTATTAAAGAATACTATAAGGGACATGACAAAAATCAGGTGATTTTTTAGGGGGGAGGGGGTAAAAAAAATTAAAATTATATATATGAACCTGATTTTTTTTATATTAAGAGGGGAAGAGGGGTAAGCTTCTGATAAAAAATAATCAGGTGATAAATGATACTGCCCTAACTAGTTATAAAAGTTTTTTAATATTATAGCAGAAATATACAAAAATAGTTAATTATAAGAATATAGAACTTATACAAGTCAAAATCATAAAAATATAATATCTTGCAAAAAACTATAGAGACTATCTAAAAAAACTGTGAGCTAAAAAGAATCCAAAGAGTGTGGCAACTTAGTGAAGTGGTGAAGTTGTTGCACCCCAAGCAGTTGAGTACAAGTTCAATTCCTACTGAAAACGAAAATTGAATTTCAAAAAACAGATTCAGTAACTATTGTCATAGTTGGGAAAACTCGAGACTCTGTAATTGTGGTTGTACCAATTTATCGAAACTAGAAGATCTCAGAGCATTTGTGTAATATATGAGTTATACAAATAGATCTTTGGATTGCAAAAAGCCACAGGGCTGATATGGTGATAGGCACTCATTTGGCAAGTCCCAAATAGAGAGATAGTACAGTTCTTTAATAGTATTATATAAAGGATCATTATCGGAGAAACTAGTAAAACTACACAGGACCAAAGTATTTAGCAAGACACTCTACCAACCAGGCTGCTGGAGGAGTAACCAGAGAAAAAAGACCTAACTGTGGGGACTAGAAGCAGGTCACAGCCCTTCTGGGCTATCTAGATTGATAGTTTGGGATAGTTGAGGATACTGTAGACAGTTTGTAATATGTATACCAGGGTTTGAGTAAACTCTATAAGAGCAGAAGTACATTGTGTAGTGGTGACCAAGCTATAGTACCTGATATGAAAACTATGCTGCAAGTGGCAGGCCTCAGCCTGTGCGTATCAACTGAAAACTAGGTCAGCTGGATTGTAGATACAGAAGGCTCTAGCAGGTTTACCTCTGAGGATAAAGGGTTCTTGAGAGTAAAGAGTCTGCTTTAAAGTTCTAAGTTGGTATCTGAAACTAAAGATTTCTGAATGGATTCTTACTCGGTTATTAGTGTAATCACATAGGTACAGAAAGTTTAAATAAATAATCCTCTAGTCAGGTTATAGATATGACATCTAGTGTAGAACTTAGTAATAAGCGAACTACTTAATATAGGCAACCAAAAGTTGCACGTATGGCTAGTTGTACTCTTCAAATATATATATAGTATGTGAAAATCATACTGTAAAAATTATAACTATAATTGAATAAAGGTACGTGACCAAGAGATTATCTTAATACCGAAAAAAAAAAGAATCTGAATAACTATATTAAGACAGTTACTTTCTAATGAAGAAGCATATACTATAAAGCTAGAAAATTATCATAAAAGGTATATAGACAATGATCTATATAACAATCTTGAGGAACTATATATGCTTTACTATCAAATAGCTAAGAAGGAGAATTGTGAAATGTGGAGATAAAAAATCGATAGAAAGTCTGCTAGCTATATATATATAAATTATAAAAGAGAGTACTTATTTAAGAAATCAAAATCACAAAATCTAGTTTATAGTAGTGATCTAGTTTAGTGATATGATATATATCTACAACTAGAAAGACAAAGACTTAGCATATATTTTTTTCTAATATAGTAAATATTTAATTATTTTTTAAGATATATATCTAATTAGATTAATTAAATCAGCTATATAAAGGGATCAGCTAATTGCAAATAGCTAAATTAAGAAATAATTAGTGCAAAACAATAAATAAGTTTACTACTAACCTTACGCAATATTTGTCATTATATAATCTAGCAAAATATAGTTATACATATAATAAGGAAACAGATTTCATTACTGACAAAAATATAAAATAAGACAAAATTATAGACATATTCAATTAGGCTATACAAATTTAATATCATAGTTTTCATAACATAAAACTTTTAAACAGACCTGGTTGGCTAGCTTTTTTTTTTTATTTTCATATATAAAAATTTTATAAAATTTTTTAAAACTTTTTTAAAAACTTACCCAATTATTAAAACATATAAAAATTTTTTTTACAAGTTTTCAAATTTTGACCTAGCCGGGTTATGAAAACCAATTAATTAATTTTGTATAGCTTTATTCTAAATTGAGAGTAACAAATCTAAACCAATCGACTGTTTGCAAATATAATGTTAATACATATAATGTTAATATCGAATTAGATCAAAAATTAGAAACTACATACTATTAAATAAAAAGTCTTAGTTAATAAAATCTATATATTTGATATATACAATATAATATGCATATATTTAACTCATCTATACTTCAGGATATCATCAGTGAAATCATACAAAAAATATTATTAGAAGATCTAAATAACTGTATTTGTATTAATCATATATAGTATAAAGAAATTTGGTATAAATTTTATAAAAAAACATAAAAACTTTAATACAAAATACTATAATTTATTAGAAAAACTAAACAGATACTATAGAAAATTAGATATAAATGATAAAGAAATTGAGCTCATATATAATAATATATTGACAATATTTGATAAGCTTGTAAAAATAGAAATGTATATGCTAAATAAAAATATAGTTTTTAGTAAAAGAATTAGAAATGCAATATTGTCAAATATTAAAGATTATAATTAGAGATGTGACAAAAATCAGATGATTTTTTAGAGGGGGTAAAAAATTAAAATTATATATAAAAACTTGATTAAAATATATAATAAGAGGAGAGAAGAGGTAAGCTTCTAATAAAAAAAATCAGATAATAAATAATACTATCTTTATAAGAACTCTTTAGATTCATATAATTTTAGAGAAGATATATTCAAATATATAAAATATTTTGAAATATTGTAAGGTTTCATTCATTATATTAATTATTTTTTCGATATCCTTAAACTTGATTTTTTATTCACAATTACTAGTAAAAATCGATCGGTTCTTGGTTTATGTTAAGTAATTTGTGAATAAACAGATCACCAAACCTAAAATTAGTTTCATAAATCTGCAAATTAATTTTGTTAGTCTCTAAAATATTTAATATATAAAAATAAACAAATGATTAATTTTAATACTTATCTTTCTATAATTCTTAATACTATATACCAACTCTTTAATTATAAAAAATTTTATTTTTGGATATATCTACTAACCCAATGCCTCAAAATATTTTATGTCTCAAAAATCTTGCTTTAAATATCCTTAAGAATAGCTCTCCATAGGTTATTACAAAAAGTGTTGAAGTTTCAAAACTAAATCTATACTCAAAGTATAATAAAGAGCTTTTTTGTACAAAATTAAAAAACTATTTACAATACTTACTTGTGCTCATGTATTCTACTGTAGTTGTCTTGAGGATTATGTGAAAGATCTTTCATAATGCTCTAAATGTGTAATAGAAGTTGAACCAATTGATTATTCTAAATCTAGCCCACAAGAAAATCAAACACAAAATACTCTAGTCCCAATACAAATTTTACCATAAATGATATCTAGTCAAAGCAGAAATACAGTAAGGGACATGATAAAAATCAGGTGATTTTTTAGGAGTGAGGGGAATAAAAAATTTAAAATTATATATAAAGATCTGATCAAAATATATAGTAAGAGGAGGAAGGGGGTAAGCCTCTAATAAAAAAAAATCAGGTGATAAATGATACTGCCCTAACCTCAGATACAACTTATAGTTTAAATCTTTTCTTATCAGATTTCTTACTATTTTTGGACTATACAAAACAGAGTCAAAAAAACTTAACGAAGATACTACTAAAAATAAATTA